TTATTTATTTATTTATTTATTTATTTATTTATTTATTTATTTATTGTGTATATAATATTCTGTCTGTGTGTATGCCTGCAGGCCAGAAGAGGGCACCAGACCTCATTACAGATGGTTGTGAGCCACCATGTGGTTGCTGGGAATTGAACTCAGGACCTTTGGAAGAGCAGGCAATGCTCTTAACCTCTGAGCCATCTCTCCAGTCACCCAGCTTTGGTTTTCTTTGAGTGTTTTTATATAGTGGTTTTTTTTTTTTCTTCAGCAGAATACTGGTTATCCAGTCAGCTGATGCCTAGGCAGGTTTGTTCTTGGTTTTGGTGGTGGTGGTGGTGGTGGTGACGATAATTAATCCCTGGGCCTTGAGCATTGCTGGGGGAGGGCTCCACCACTAAGCCACATCAGCAGTTCAAGTGTATGTGAAAATTAGTTTGCATTCTGTATGTGGAGGGAAAAAAATATATGTTCCAATACAGCCCAAGCTTGGTCAGCCCAAGCATGCAAAATAGCCATAATCAAAAAGTCACTGCATATTTTATTTCAGACTTTGAAAGCTTGAGCCAAAGGAGATATACAAACCTGCATGGACCTTTGAAGTCTCATATAAAACTATACAAAATATTAGTTTGAGGCTATTCTAAAATTGAACATTGAATTTATAATTATTCAAAGTTTTTTTTCAGTCTTTCTCTGATACACAGAAGTCTAGGAAAGAGGCTGTTCTGCTAGCTAAAATGAAGCACCCCAATATTGTTGCCTTTCAAGAGTCATTTGAAGGTAAATATGAATTCTCCCAGATACGCTCGTACCTGGATTTAATTCTTAACAACTGTGACTTTCCTAAGGAGTCTCCTGTGTGTTTTAGCTGAAGGGCATCTGTATATTGTGATGGAGTATTGTGATGGAGGGGACCTAATGCAGAAGATTAAACAGCAAAAAGGAAAGTTGCTTCCTGAAGATATGGTAAGAAACTGACTTACCTAGAACTCAAACAGGGCAGGAACATGGAGGCAGGAGCTGATGCAGAGGCCATGGAGGGTGCTGCTTACATGGCTTGCTCAGCCTGCTCTTTTATAGAACCCAGGACCACTAGTCCACAATGGGATGAGCTCTCCCATGTCAATCAGTAATTAAGAAAATGCTCTACAGGCCTGCCTTCAGCCCAATCTTATGGAAGCATTTCCTTAATTGGAGTTCCAAAGTTACACAGTGAGAATCTAATAAATAAATAAATAAATAAATAAATAAATAAAATTGAATAAGTAATACTTAGAGATGGACATGTAGCTCAGTGGTGGAGCATTTGCCCGGTATTTGCAAAGTCCTGGGTTCCATCTGCAATGCTGTATAAACCACTCTTGGTGATGCATGCCTGTAATCCCAGTATTTGGGAGGCAGAAGCAAAAGGCTCAGAAGTTCAAAGTCTTCCTTGGCTTCAAGGCCATTCTGGGATACAGACTATCTCTTCCTTATCTCCCAGCCAGACACAAAAAAGAAACATATCCGGTTGAAAAGGAGAAGAAAAATGTGGTGGACTTTTCATTAAAATATACATCTGATCATACACAAGGTGGCAAAACATGGGAACCAGGCTTCTGAATTTCCTCAGATAATACCGAATTGTAGTTGAATTGTATAGATTTTATGTGTGCAGAATTCACTTTTTGATATCTTAGTAAAATAAGGCCTAGAAGTGATTTCTCAGAATTTGAGTTGACATCAGCTAGTTTTCACATTTTTACAGGTGTTGCATATTATTTTCTTTTAAAATATTTTTATTCATTCTTTTAGACTTTTGTACACTATATATTGGTCATATTTACCTCCAGTTCTTCACCCTAGATACTGTGTATACTTTTTTCTTCCAGATACTTAACTGGTTTGTACAAATTTGTCTTGGAGTAAATCACATTCACAAGAAACGTGTGTTACACCGAGATATCAAGTCCAAAGTGAGTATAATGTGTTGATGACAGAAGTTACAAATAATCCCACACTAGTTCAGAATTGCATATAATAAAGGGTTATTTATTTAGGGGGGACTCACAGATCGCTGTCCTAGATCACAGTCCTCTGCACGAACGGGGAACAGGAACTGAGTCTAGCAGCCGGAAGCAAGCGCATGCTTTATAGCTGCATTTGGAGTATAAGAGACCACGCCAAAGTGGGCTGGTGTCTTAAAGGCTATTGGCCAAAGGAGCTCCAAAAGCAAGGTGTTTTAGGGTCTGGGGAATAAAGAAAACAATTTTGTTGTCTTTTTTTTTCTGTTACTATTTTTTTTTGGGACATTGTATTTCGTTTAGAAAAATTTGCCAATATAATACTTTTTAATATTTACTCTTTTAATGAAAAAAATATTTAGCTGGGTGCGGTGGTACATGCCTTTAATCCCAGCACTTGGGAGGCAGAGGCATGCGGATCTCTGAGTTTGAAGCCAGTCTGGTCTACAGAGTGAGTTTCGAGACAATCAGGGCTACATAGAGAAACCCTGTCTCAAAAGACAAAAGGAAACAAAGAATACCCTCACCTTATTGAGGTAAAATTGACAAAATTTTATATATTTATAGTATACAATATGGTATTTTAATATACATACAAGTATGCACATTGTAACAGTATTAAGTCATGTTAATTGATGTGTCTATGATCTTACTGTTTTAGACTTCTCATTATTTTAAGTGTGTGGGTGGGTGTGAGGGGTGTGTGCATTTGCACATACTTGTGTACTATGCATGAGAAAGTATAGATGCCCAAGAAGCCCTGGGCTTCAGATTCCCTGGAGCTGTAGTTACAGATAGTTGTGAACCACCTGTTATGTGTCCTGGGAACCAAAACCAGGTCCTCTGGAAGGCCATCCCTCCAGGCCCTCCCCTTCTGAACATTTAAAACCTACACTTCAATCAGCCATAGTAATAACTGCCTGTGATCCCAGCCCCTGGGAGGTTGAGGCAGGAGGATTTCTAGTTTGAGGTCAGCATGAACCACCTGAGTCAAATCCCTATCAAATCCACTAAAATCTACTCTTTTAGTGATTCTCAAGAATATTATATATTGTCAGGCAGTTGTGGCAAAGCCTTTAATCCCAATACCCAGGAGGCAAAAGTAGGCAGATTTCTGTGAGTTCGAGGCCAGTCTGATCTACAGAGTGAGTTCCAGAACAGTCAAGGCTACACAGAAAAACCCTGTCTCGAAACAAAAATATAAACAAACAAAATCGTATATTAACCACGGTCACCACGATGTACAATATAGGTCTTTTGTTTGCTTGCTTTAAGACAGGGACTCGCTATGTAGTGCTGACTGCCCTAGAACTCACTATATAGATCAGACTGACCTCTAACTTCAAGAGATCGATCTGCCTCTCCCTCCCATTGAAGACATGTGCTACCATGTGAACCATGCCGTAGCTCTTCTTTCCTCTCTCTCTTTCTTTCTCTCTTTCTTCCTTCCTTCCTTCCTTCCTTCCTTCCTTCCTTCCTTCCTTCCTTCCTTCTTTTTCTCCTTCTCCTTCTCCTCCTCCTTCTCCTTCTCCTTCTCCTCCTCCTCCTCCTCCTTTTCTTTCTCCTCCTTCTCCTCTTCCTCCTCCTCCTCCTTCTTTGTTTTTTGAGACAGGGTTTCTCTGTATAACAGGTCTAGCTGTCCTAGAACTTGCTTTGTAGACCAGGCTGGCCTTGAACTCACAGAGATCCACTTGCTTCTGCCTCCTGAGTGCTGAGATTAAGGTGCGCGCTGCCACATCTGGCTCCATGCAGTAGATCTAAGGACCTGCTTATCCCAGGTAAAACATTATGCCTTTTGACCTAGAATTTATACCAACCAAATAAAATAGCATATGTAAAAAGGAGTTGAAACCTCTTTTGCCATCTAGGTGAATGTAACCCTTTTAATGCCCACTGAATAAACGCATGGGTTCTCAGTGGGAAGTGGTGAGCACCTGTCCCAGCCACTGAGCCCCCAACACAGGCTCCCTCTGATCATATCCGATGCTACCTGACATTTGCATGTTAGATTTCAAAGCGTGCATCCTGAATCCCCAGGCAGAGGAGTGTGCAGCTGTTTTAAGAGGGGGTCTTGCTATTTCTTTTGTTTTCTCTGGGACCCAGCTGTCAGTATGTCTACCCTTATCTCCAGCATCAGCAGGCTTTGAAAGCTGCTCTGGAGCCCGCCGCCTTATGCTGGGATGACCAGGACATCTATATTCTTCTTTTTCAATGCAGAATGTCTTCCTCACCCAAAGTGGAAAAGTGAAACTGGGAGATTTTGGCTCCGCCCGTCTTCTCTCCAGGTATGTACCTGTCCTAGTGACAGAAATCTGAGCAGTCATTTTCAGAGGAGCTTCGGAGTCACTTTGCCTTTCTGTGGTTTCAGCCCCATGGCCTTTGCATGCACGTACGTGGGAACGCCTTATTATGTGCCTCCAGAAATTTGGGAAAACCTGCCCTATAACAATAAAAGGTGGGTAGTGTCCTTATTTGGATAATGTTGGGCATTGGATGGGAGGGGCTCTAACCTGCAAACTGATGCTGGAATCTGGTGCAGATGCATAGAGCTTATTTGCTTAAAAATTTTATTTTAGTTACTTCTTGTGAGTGTCTATGTGAGTGTGTATACATGTGCCACGGCCTGTGTGTAGAGGTCAGAGGACACTCTTTTGGAAATTGGTTCTCCTGCCTTGTTGAAGGAGGGGGTCTAACTCTTTGGTCATTTCTGCCACTGCACTGCACACCCTGGGCCAGCTGACCCACGAGCTCCTAGCCAGTGCTACCGTCTCTCTTTCCATCTTGAGGCGGGAGTGCTGAGATCACAGCTGTGTGCACCTGACTTTCTTATGTGCATTCTGAAGGTCAAATCAGATGGCCAATCTCGTGGGACAAGGGTTTGACCTGCCGAGCTCTGCTTTTTAAAGATCTGCTTGGGCCTTTTTGGTTTCAGTTCATGAGTAGAATAATTTTGCCTAGCACGTGTCTTGGATTTGATTACCAACACCACAGAAATAAAATGGCATAAAAAATAGATCTTAAAGTTACATGGAATCTGTATTCTCAGGAATCCAGAGGAAAGTCCTGGTTTTCCAACATCGTCATCACAGCTGTGAGGGCCTAGTTGACAAAAGAAGGTTCAGCGGTTGTAAGGGTGGTCTGGGTTATGTGCCTGGTTCCAGACTTGTTGTTTATGCTTTGAAGAGTCTCTGCATCCATCTATCAAATGAGAGCACGGGGATAGGAAGCAGGCAGTCAAATCTCATGCATTCATCCATCAAATGAGAGCACAGGGCATGGCAAGCAAACAGCAAATCTCCTGTATCCATTCATCAAATGAGAGCACCAGGGAGCAGGGCTTGATCTAGAGGGTTATTATTATAAAATGTAGGACCAATGAGATTGGTCAGTGGGTAAAAGTGTTTACCACCAAGCTTGATGACCCGAGTTCAATCTCCAGGACATAAATGGCAGTAGAAGAATAGACTTCTGCAAGTTGTCCTCCGACCGCCACATATACCCTGTGGCCCACGTATGTGCTCATACAGATACGAAAATAAATTAAGTGCAATAAAATAAGATAAAAATGCATGTATTACCATGATCATGCATAACATAGTTGTTACAATGCTGTCTCTTTATGCTTCTAGTGACATCTGGTCCTTGGGATGCATTCTGTACGAACTCTGCGCTCTGAAGCATCCAGTAAGTATGATGCCAAACCACAGGGCCATTTGTCATGTCCTGCTAAGACCCAAGAGAGGCATCAGATTTCTACTGGGGTTCACTTCCCCAGGCAGGATTTGTTATAAAGTTTCTGCTTGTCCTCTTTTTATCTTTGCATGGAGCCATTTTGTAGTTCTGTGCCAACAGGAAAAGCCTGTAAGAGGCAGGAATTCTATATGTAGCTCTCCTCCTCTTTCTTTTATATATGACATAATATTTGCCATTGTAGCTATTTTTTTATTCATTTATTATGTATACAATATTTCTGTGTGTATGCCTGAAGGCCAGAAGAGGGCACCAGACCTCATTACAGATGGTTGTGAGCCACCATGTGGTTGCTGGGAATTGAACTCAGGACCTTTGGAAGAGCAGGCAATGCTCTTAACCTCTGAGCCATCTCTCCAGCCCCGCAATGTAGCTATTTTTAAGTTCACAATTCAGTGGCATGAATTATATTCAAGATACTAATTACACTCATGGTATTCATTAATTATACTCATGATATTCATTAATTACATTTGTGATATTTATTGGTTACATTCATAGTATTCATTCAATAACTACATTTATGATCTTCATTAATTATATTAATTATATTGATTATATTAATGATATTATATCCTGATACTGCTGTCCATTTGTGGGGCTTTTCTGTCACACCAAACAGAAACTTTGTTCTTAGGAAATCATGACTTTATATTCCTTTCTTCCCCAGCTTGAGATAACTTCTAATTTTTTCTTATAATTTATTTAACTTTTATTTTATGTGCATTGGTGTAAAGGTGTCCGATCCCCCAGAACTGGAGTTACAAACAGTTGTGAATCGCCATGTGGGTGCCAGGAATTGAACCCGGGTCCTCTGGAAGAGCAGCAAGTGCTCTTAACCCCTAAGCCATCTCTCCAGCTCCTAATCTTTCTATCTCTATGAATTTGTATATTCTATATATCTCATGTAATACAATTCTGTGGTATTCATCCTTTTTAAAGATTCATTTATTTTATTTCTTATATATGAGTGTTTGACCTGCATGTATTTGCACCACATGCGTGCCTGGTGCCCAGGGAGGTTAGAAGAGGGTGTTAGATAGTCCAGAACTGGAGTTATAGATGGTTGTAAGCCATTATACAGGTACTAGGAATTGAACCGGGGTCCTCTGCTGATAGGGAACCTCAGCAGAAGTTTTCTCTTACCCACCGGGCCTTGTTTCTAGTTTGCAAAAACGAACCAGTACACTTAACTTTTTTTTAAATTAAAACATTTTTTGAGAATTTTATGTATGAGTGCTGTGTATACATTTCTATCCCTCCCTATATCCAGCCTTCAATTCCTCCTATGTCTCTCCCCAACTCCATCTAAAGTTCATAACATTCTTCTATAATTATTATCTTCTCTCTCTCTCTCTCTCTCTCTCTCTCTCTCTCTCTCTCTCTCTCTCTCTCTCTTACACACACCTCAAGTGCTACATTTCCTGTTGTTTTTACATACTGCACTTGGCAGTGGGTAGCTTAGCAGGGAGCCTGCTCCTGGAGAAGACTAATTCTTCCTCTCTGAGCAGCCATTGATTGCCTGGAGTTCTCTATCTATGGGTGGCCTTGTGAAATTTCCCCTACTGAGGAGTTCAGAAGAGGGTGTTGGATCCCTTGGAACTGAAGTTACGGATGGTTGTGAGGTCTCATGTGAGTAATGGGAATTGAACCTGGGTTCTCTGTAACTAGTCTTTCTGACCCACCAGCCAACTTCCAAATAATGGCATGGAGACGTCTTATCAGTTACTAAAGCTGACCCTATACTTTAGGCTTGTCCCACTAGCTCTTATTACTTAAATCCACCCATTTCTATTAATCTACGTTCTATCTTGTGCTCTTACCTCTCTTCTATCTTGCATCTCCCATTTCCTCTTTGTGTCTCCTGATTTCTCCTGCCTGCCTACGTTCCTCTTCCACTTCCTTTCTCTCCCTGGTAATCCCACCTATATCTCCTGCCTAGGTATTGACTGTTCAGCTTTTTTATTGCACCAATCACAGCAAATACACCTTCACACAGTGTACAAATATCCCACAGCAATCCTCTGCAAGAACAAGTGTTCTAAATTAAATTTTCCTCTTATGACCACTCTTAATGGGTTCCAGAGGGTTTGTTATATTGTGTTTTCATTTTCATTTAATTCCTGGAATGTTTTTCTTTCTCTCTTTTTTGAAAAAAAAATGTTTCTTTCTTTCTTATGTTGTTCAATCTCCATGAGTTCATGTAATTACTAAACAATTTTTACTATTTACTTTGAATAGTAATGAGATAAGATATATGGAGTTATTTAAGCTTTTCAGTATTTGTAGTGTCTTGTTTTATGTCTCATATATATGTAGTCTATTTTAGAGAAGGTAGAAGAATTTCTTCCTTCTTCAAGATTTATTTATTTATTATGTATACAACATTCCTTCCATGTGTGGCTGCAGGCCAGAAGAGGGCACCAGTTCTCATTACAGATGGTTGTGAGCCACCATGTGGATGCTGGGAATTGAACTCAGGACCTCTGGAAGAGCAATCAGTGCTCTTAACCTCTGAGCCATCTCTCCAGCCCCTTCTTTGGTTTTTTGGAGACAAGGTTTCTCTGTGTAATGGTTCTGACTGTCCTGGAATTCACACTGTAGACTAGGCTGGCCTCGAACTCACTGAGATCCTCCTGCCTCTGCCTCCCAAGTGCTGGGATAAAAGGTATGCACCACCACCACTTAGCCCTAACCTTTATCTTTTGATTAGGGTGTTGAGTCTATAATTTAAAATTATCATTGAAAGGTGTGTGTTGATTGCTGTAGTTTATTTTTATTTTTTAATGTTTGTATTCTTGGTCCTGTTTGTTTTTCAGGATTGTAGCTTCATTTGTTTCCTTCATATAGTCCCTTGGCTATATTTACTCCTCTCTTCAGTCTGACGTAATTGCTTCCAGTCTTCTCTGTAGGGCTGGATTGCTGAACATGAATTCTTTCAGTCTACTTATATCACATACAGATTTTTCTTCTCCTTAAACTACGGCAGATAGTTTTCCTGGGTCGGCACCTGTGGTCTTTTAGAACCTGGGGTGCATTGCTCCAGGTACTTGTGACCTTCACAGTTTCCATTGAGATGGCAGACGTTATTGTGACTTATTTTCCCGTGGAAGTGACTTGTGGTTTTTCTCTTGCAGTGTTCATTACTCTTTCTCTCTGTTTTTTATTTAGTGTTTTTGTTGTTGATTTTGAGATAGGGTATCTCTGTGAAGCCCTGGCTTTCCTGGAACTCCCTCTGTCTGGCCTCAGACTCAGAGATCTGCCTGCCTCTGCCTCCTGAGTCCTGGTAGGCATGCACCACCACTGCCCAGCTAACATGTTGTGTTTTAATGTCTTTTCTGGTCATTTCTATGTGGTGTTCTGTGTGTTTCTTTTATCAGTCTGGGTGTGTCTTCCCTTAGTTTGGGGACTTTTTTCTATGCTCTTGTTGAAGATCTGATCTACACTGTTAACCTGGAGTTCTTCGATGGCAGTGTTTCATACTGTTGATCTTTTTGTAGTGTCCCAAAGTTACTGCTTTTGTGGCACTTCAAATGAGAGTGTCTCGCATAGGTGTGGATATTTGAATAATTGGTGTTAGCAGTGCCCTTCTTCCCAGCATTCTCCTAGTCTGGCTCTCCTACCCAATCTCTTCCTGCCCAGCTATAGGCCAGTCAGCTCTTTATTAACCAATGAGAGTAATACATATTCACAGTGTACAAAGATTGTTCCACAGCAGTGTGGGAGGAAGGAACTGAGCCAGGCTTACCCAGAGAGCCTGCCTGAGTTTGGAGGCTTGGTGTGGATAGACAAGAGAGAGTAAGGGTCCTGGGTCAGACTAGGCAAGGGAGTGAGGAGAGGGTTTCCACCTGAGTCTGGGACTGGAGAGCTGGAATGTGGGGGCAGCTGTGGCTCAGCAATGTATGATTAGCTTTGTAGCACCCTCCTCAAACTGTTTTCTAGAGTGTCTGCAATTTTTATGATTGTTAGCTTCTAAACTGAAATGTGAGAAAACAGAATTTGCCCTAGTAAATATTTTTTTCTAGATACTTTCAGATAATTTGACTTACTTGGTGGTAGTTGGTCATTTGGTGGAGTTGTTCATCTGGTGGTAGTTGACTGGTGGAGGTTGCTTGTTTGTTTTTTGGTGGTAGCTGTTTGGTGATAGTTGCCTGTTTGGTGGTGGCTGCTCATTTGGTGATAGTTGCTTCTTTGGCAGTAGCTGATTGCATAAAGCAACCGTCAAAACTGATCCTGACTAGGTCTTCACTTTGCATGGAAATAAATCGTTCACCTGTGGGTCAAGCCTGTCTCTGCTTGAGAGCACACAGCTCAGGAGGTGGTTGAGGCAGAAAATGCCCGCTCAGCACCTGATGTGAGAGTAATTCAGACCAAAGCGTATGCTGTTCATGTTAGGACATCTCCCTTGAATAGAAGTGACTTCTAGTGTCAGCTTCACAGCTTAAGGAGGTCAGCTAGGCCTGGGGGTGCTTATGGGAGGACAAGGCCTAGAGCGCAAGACTAACCTGACAGAGAACACCCAAAAAATAAAGTCTGAGAGTGCCAGTGGCATAAACATTGGGGAGGGGGGCGCAGAGACAATTCAGTGGAAAAGAACACTTGATGCTTTTGCAGAGGACTCAAGTTCAGCTCTCAGCACCTATACGGAGGCTCACAAACGTCTATAACTCCAGTTCTTGGTGATTTAACACCTCTGATCCCTTTGGGCACCTAAACATCCTCTCTGTCTGTCTCTCACATATACACACATAATAAAAATAAACCTTTAAAAACTAAATACATTTTAAAAAAGAGAACAGCTCAAAGAACTTTTTAAATTGCTGAGGCCTCAGCCCACTCCACATACCTGAATCAGAATCTCCAAAGAGGTGTCGAATTTGCGTTTTTAAACCAGGCAATTCTGAAGTGCGTCCCAAGTTGGGAACCACTGTTGCTCTGAAGCCATCCTGAGTTTACGCGTGCCATGCCAGCACTGACAGATACCGGTCTCCATGTGGAGGGGGTTATGTTCATGTCCACCTTCCTCCAAAGCACATGAGGCTGTGAACTGCCCTTAAGGGCATCCGTGGAAGGAAGGGACCCAACAGCAGGTGCCTTTGCAAAATAAACGTAGCTTATGAAAATATGAATTTGCTTCAGCTGATATTTCTTATTTCTATATTTTCTTTTCATATACCTGATTTTTTAAAGTGTCGCTTTCACTTTTCAGTTTCAGGCAAATAGTTGGAAAAACCTCATCCTGAAAATATGTCAGGGGCCCATCCCCCCACTGCCAGCTCTGTATTCCGATAAACTTCACTGTCTTGTCAAGCAGATGTTGAAAAGGAGCCCTTCGCAGCGCCCCTCCGCTACCACCCTGCTGTGCAGAGGCAGCTTAGCCCCGCTCGTCCTGAATTGCTTACCCCGGGAGGTATGACGGGTGTCTCTCATTGGCTCTAGCGTGGTAGCATTTGTTTTTAACTTATCTGGCGGTGGGCATGGGCGTACAGTGGTGTCCATGGAGATGCCACAGGACATCTCGGCTCTCTCCTTTCATCCTTAATGGGTCCAGTGATAAACTCGGGTTATCAGGCTTGGCAGCAGGTGCTTTTAACCGTTGCGCCATCTCACTGGCCCTAAACTCGTTATCTCTTAAGCTTAATTTACTCATACATGCCTGTAAGGACTCACGAAATTCAGAGGTGTATTTAAAATGTAAACCTTTTCCCTCTTCCACTTCCACCGCTCACTCCAGTAGCTGCCACACTCTCCTGCACTGGGGTTGAGCCTGGGGCTTCACTTCCGGTGGGCAGGGTCTAGCAGTCATCACAGCTGTCTGTGTTTGTCTCACTGTTTAGATTATAACGTTATTTGACTCCCCCCACCTTTCTTTCCTTGCTAAGGATCAAGTTTGGACTGTGGTTTGGGGGTTGACACTGGGCTCACACTGGCAGGCCTGCCTTAGCCCCCCCAAGTATCTAGGATTATACTTCTCTCCTTATATTTGCTTTTACGTGGCATCTTTATTTTCCAATTTTAAGTGATCTTGTGTTGAAGAACATTATAATTATATGACCTTATGGTGGTGTCCAAAGCAAAGTGTCTTGCGAGTAATCCCTGCTGTGTGGGCTAAGACAGGAGCCTTGGGGTATAGAAAAGTGTTTTTCACATTTTTAAATGCTCATCTTTAAATTTCAGATCATCAGAGAATATGGAGAGCAGATACTGGATGAAACCAAAATATCTGAGCCCAAGAAACCAAAAAAAGAAGGTAAGAATTTTCAAGTGTGTTTTAAAAAGTATCATAAAAAAGAAGATATAATTTCCACCGGGCAGTGGTGGCACACACCTTTAATCCCAGCACTCAGGAGGCAGAGACAGGCAATTTGAGGCCAGCCTGTGCTACAAGAGCGAGTTCCAGAACAGCTAGAGTTGTTACGCAGAGAAACCCTGTGTCAAAAAAATTTAAAAAGAAAAGTAATTTTCAAGTTGTTAGAATTGTTTATCACAGATAGCCTTCAAATAATTTTTCTTGCTCCTTCAAACAGAGCTTCCTTGAGATCCTATACTGTTGAAGAAACAGTACATTTTCCCCAGTGAGAAATCACTCCCACACACTTAGATTAATTAAATTAATTAATTAAAAAGCTCTTTAGTACTGGTCCGTGGCTGGTTTTGGTGATGCATGAAAAGGAACCGGCCTCAGAGAAAATGGTACCAGCTTTGATCTATACGTTCCACATACGCTGTCATCCGTAACTCTCCCTGGGGTCCCAGCCTCAGGGCACCCAGGTTAAACACAGACAGGAGACTTCGTGTCTGAACACTCGGACAGATGGGAGATTGACACAGCAAAGATATTGCCAGAAGTATTTAAATACACCACCATTGTTCTTTCTGAATTGTTGTTACCCAGGGTCACCTTGCCCACCTGGCAGAATTCTGCTTTTCCTGCTAAGAGCACAGGACTTGATTGCGTTGTCACCCTGTGCTGCCTCCTTATAAACCTAACGGAGGTTCTAAGTCTGGGTTGTCTCCTTTTGTTATGAGAATGGAGCCTAATTGGAGGTCCACCCTAGTGAGCAGACTGTAGCTGAGACTTTCTCAGCAGCCCAGAACTTCAGCTGTGCTAGGCAATTCTCTTTCCTGCAGTCGCTAACGAGGCTGGTTAATAAGGTCCTTACTGTCCAGTCATATCGGAGGCCGCATTCCTTTAGCTAAATTCTACTTTGTGGGACCTAATATTTCATAGGGAAGTAAACCCTTCATAGCATCATTTTTCTTATTGCAAGTTTTCCCCGCCTCAACATTGTACTTTTTAATTTTCAGGGACTAAGAAGAACCTAGTTTGGATAGTTCAGTGATGGGAGACTGTCTATTTTGTAATTTAGCATCTTATTTATTTTGACTTATTAAGGGTCATTGAAGGCTTTTAGGAATCTAACCATGATAATGCAACACTAATATTATAGCAAATTGTATCCCCAAGTTTCTGACGGACCATTGTACAAACTAATTTTCAAAGGCAGAGCCTTTTCTACAGAGAACTGTGGCTCTGAGTGGTAGTGAGCAGTCACTGTAGGCTCACTGACTGTCACGGGTGCATCACGTGGCACAGGATGTCGGTCAGCGTAGGCTCACCAGCCAGGATATCAGTAAGTATAGGCTCACCGGCCAGGATATCAGTCAATGTAGGCTCATCGGCCAGGATGTCAGTCGGTCAGTGTAGGCTCACCGAGGAGGATGTCGGTCAGTCAGTGTAGGCTCACTGGCCAGGATATCGGTCAGCGTAGGCTCACCCTGTCGCAGGTACATCAGTAATGCAGGATGTCAGTCAGTGTGGGAGTTGATACATTTGAGAAAACAGGTGTGTATGCTTTCATTCAGTTTGTTGTGACCGTAAACCTTATCTAAGAAGATAAAATTTATCAGTAAAATAAAATTTAAGAACAGCCTTTTCAAAAGGAATTATTTATGTAATGTATGAAAATTCCATACGACTGTAGTCTGCCTGCCTTAAGCCAGCATCACATCTAATTTAATTCCTCTCTTGGCACCTGTCATTAAATGTTTGCAGAGCATTTCTTAGTTCCTTTTCCTTTATCAGTGACTTCCTTCTGAAGTCTCCAGAGATAGCAGACGTGAGAAAAACAGAGAAGAGTTTGTATAGATTACTCCCAGCCGGGCATAAACCCATGTCTGGAGTTTGTAGCATGCATGTCCTCATAGACCACTAGAGAAACACCGTGAAAGCAGTTTGTTTATTTTCCTGGGTTAGGCTGAAGGGCTGCAGGAGCTGTGGACCAGGAACTGTGGACAAGCCTGAGAACGTGTGTCACGGTAGCACGGGTATAGGCTCCGTTCACCGTCAGCGTCTTCTCTGTCACTCAGGAGGCAGCCACTCACTCGGCCTTACGAGTTTGCTTTAGTGATAATTTTACCCCTGGTCCTATCTTGTAGCCTTTGTTCACATCGCTGGATAGTAGGAAGCACTGGGCAAGAAAGCGCTAAGAGGAGTTTCAATATATTTTGAAAAAAAAAATGTAGCTTTACAATTTCCAAAACAGAGAAAGTATTGCAGGAGTTAGCATCAGAGCGTCTCCCAGGAGGCCCTAACAAGCTAGGCTCAGACGCCCGCCCAGTGTGAGAACCGTGCTCCAGTGCCAGGAAGAGGCTGTCCCCAGGCCTGGAGTTCAAGGGGCGTGCAGCTGTAGGCAGATAAGACTTCCTTTATTCACTGGTACCCAGGCCACACAGAAGCCAGGCGCTGGCAGGCACCCTGGCACCCATAGGATGTCACAGACAGATGTATGTGTGCAGACCAGCACACACAGGCTGACACAGGCACTCGCCTCTGACATCAAGGTCATGTTTATACAGAATCACACAAAAATGGCGTTCCGCCAGGTATAATTATAGAACAGATTACATTACTGTCACTTTTGGGTTCCCTGGACTTCTAATATCAGCCACAAATTTATTGCTGACTCATAGCCCCTGGAAATCCAGCTTTGGCCATCTTGTTCTGTGCCGGATACCTGTCTCAGTCCCATGTTGTCTACATGTCAAGTGGCTTGTATGGTCTTCTGTTCCCTTCATGCACACACACCTGTTGTCTGTCTCCCAGGGTCCTGACATGAGTTCGAGTTTACAGCAGGCAAGGGATAAGCATGACCGAGTTGTCCTGGTCCGGGTCGCCCCGCCCCCATCATCTTTGTTTCAGTCTCTCCGTTGTCAGAACCATGTGGAATCCCCCGGAGTAAAGCTCCCCCTCTGTCTTCCCCAGGCTTCAGCCTTCTCCCTCCCCAGCCTGAGATTCCTGGGGAAATGCCAGTTCCTTGGGGATTATTGTCCCAGCAGTCCGATAGCCAAAGAGAGGAACATAAATGCCTCTTTAGAATGTCTTCATTGGCGGTCACAGGAGGAGCCAGTGAAATGCTACCACATTGGGACCATTTAGTCTCTAGATAGTGAGATCAGAACAGTAAATCACGCACAAGGACAGGGACTGTATGTGACGTGCTCCCCTCGAGTTTCTATGGCCTGTTCTTACAGGTATTCAAAGCCATTTTTAAGATGTCGAATGAAGCTGGGCATGGTAGCATGCGCCTTTAATCATAGCACTTCGCGGTGAGGCAGGAGGATCGCTATAAGCCTCAGGCCAGCCTGATTTTTATAATGAGTTCTACGCTAGCAAGAGCTATATAGCGAAACTCTGCTTCAAAACCCAAAATAAACAAAACCAAAAGTCAGTAAATGTGGGGACGCCGGCTCCTCTGACTTCTCAGCTGCTTAAATGGGTTGGCATGGATGACTCTTACGTTATCTGAACATTAAGGATAAAACAACATAAATCGTTTCTTGTAATATCTAGAGAATTGTACCCGGTGCTGAACGCTCGATACCCCTTCAGTTTGATGCTATCTGTGGTCAAGTATCTTTAGCGTCCTTATTTGTCAGACACCAATAATGCCAGTGTTGGGGGTGCTGAGGAAGGACGGTCAGAGTTTAAGGACTACCTGGGCTGTGTACTGAGAATCTTTCTCTAAACACAAAGCGTAAGCAGGGAGAGCCGTTAGGATTCAGGCATTTTGCTGGCCTGCCCTGTCATCTGGCAGGATGTACCCAGGCAGTTCCCTGGCCAGCCCAGGGTCCTAGTGTGTACCCAGGTACAAAGGTCCCGTTAAGAGACGAGCTCGACCCACTCCTGCACCTCACTGTTCTGAAGGGCAAGCAGGACTTTTCCTGCTTCTTCTCTTTTCTCTCTCTCTGTGACTCTTTTTCTTTCTCTTCTCTCCCTTCCTTTCCCCACTC